AAGGTCAACTCCACGGTGAGTGGATTGGTTGTACCCAAAAGCTTTTGCGATTATCAAACAGGGTGAAGTGATCGAAAAAGTAACACTTCACTAATCGCCAAAAGTTTAGCATTGCGATTACGCAACAGTGATTTGAAAACTAAAGGATGGTAATTTTCCGGTTGTGATTTCGTGACAGAATGTGGGACAATGCTGAGTGAGAGAGAAACGCTAAAGGGAAATACGGTAGAATTGGAAGCAAAAATGGGATCCAACTAGTTATGTGTTCTTACAGAGGAAACCACGATGGGCGATAACTACAGGAAACTTATTTGGCAACGAACCGGTTGTAAAAACTGAAAATGAAGGAACCGGCACCAGTGGCTACGTGATGAACAGCTGACGAGTTAGTTGTTAGTTTTACAACGAACAGGGTTGTTTCTGGCATATTTCGGGTGATTACCGATCCTTTGGTCTAGGCTTCAGTCCAGACCAAATGAGCATTGAAAAAAAAAGGAATTCGCAGGGGACGGGGGAGGGGAAGATGAAGTGTGAAGACAATGGTCTGTTGGGTCAGACGAGGAAGAGGTAAATCTGAGAAAATAATTGGACTAGGAGTTAATGACAAGTCAGCAATGTGGGTGCGTGTGTGTAAGTGTGTGAGGGGAGCGGTTCTTCGTACGATTGGAAGACACGGGTGTGGAAAAGTAACTGATTTTGATGGGCCGTCTACAAATGTCAAACTTTTCATCTCGAAGTGTGCTAACTAGTCAGAATACAAAATGGGTGATTTTAGGATGGAATACAAAACTAGATGAAATTCTCTGTTGGAAATATCGAGACAAGACAGAGAGGAAAGTCAAAGTTATTATGGGAATTACTTACAGGCTCGTGCTTCGCTTGACCCCGTAGGATGTTTATATAATCGAATTGGTTCTCGGCATAAATGATAAATACCACATATTGCTCTAGGTATAAGATAACACATAATGTTGGCTTCAATTATTTTAGGTTTTAATTGGGTAGGAGTGTGAGGTGATCCAGGGTTTAATCAAGTCTCCGCTGGAAAGACTCAACAGTTGGTGCACACACGACGTGAGATGGAAGGGCTTTCCAATTGGTATGCACTCTGACTGCGAAGGACTGATCTCGGCATTCCAATCGACACTTTGGTATCAGTAACTTGAAACTATGTCCTCCATATTGTACGTCGGGCGACAACGTGAGCAGCGACTGACATGGATAGTTTGGGTTCTACGATATTTGGCACACTAAAATCAAGCGTCGGTAATACTGAGTAGAATAGTCCCAATGATCGTATTGTCCTCCCCGTAGGTGAGTTCGTGCAACCCCTTGAACATCTTTGTGGTAATCCTTTGTGGACGCTCCAATATCTTATGATCACGTTGTAACTACGGGCTCCAAACTTGGATGATGTACCCTGTATACGATCCAATTTACATTGATAGCAAACGTGGGAAAAATGCTGATTCAAACCGACCAGAGTGGCGTTTAAGCAAACCGACATTATTCACGACTGCGAACGAAGACCTGGCGTAATCGGTCGAGCAGCTTAAGTTTTCTTTTATAATTACACCTAGATCCTTCTCACTTGAGGTACGTGGCAGCTATTGATTTCGGAGGAAATACGGGAATCTATTCCTGTGACACAGGGATAGGAACTTGCATTTGGAAACATTGAATTCAATGTTGTTCTCCATAGACCATTGATAAGCTGTGTTTCTTCAAGTGATAGAGAGCCTTCAGGTTCTGTTACGATATTCTAGCTTGCAATGTCATCTGCAAATAATAGATTCTGGCCCTAGCAGATTCGACAGATCATTTATGAATGCATGGAGAGTCGGAGATCAAGTAAAGACCCTTGTGGAACACCACGGGTAACGATGATAAAACCGGATAGGGAATCAGAAACACGAACTGATATGGTCTGTTAGCGCCAAAAGGCTCCAATCCAACCAAGCACAAAACCTCGAATGCTGTAATTGTAAAGCTTCTGTAACAAAATCTGATGGTTTACCCCACCAAATACTTTTGAGAAATCCAGATAAATCACACCCACCCCAATGCCCTCGTCGACTGTTCCGGTTTGTTCATCTCGAACAATAAGCAAGTTAGTGGAACGGGATCGTTTTTACCTGAGCCCATATTGAGCTGGCGAATCTGCCACTAGTGACTACATGACTTTCGATAAAATTGATTGGAAGGACGGTTACAAGTCAGTAGTTAGCGGGGTCACTAAGACAACCCCGTCTGTAGATGGGTGAAATAACGGAGCTGAATCTTAAACAAACACGCATATGCCAGCCTGGTAGTATAAAGAATAAACAAAGTGTATAGAGCAGCAAACAGATGTGCATATTGAAGAAAGTAACTGGGTCTGGGAAATGAAAAAATCATGTCGAGGAGGTAGACGGGAGGAATCGTTGCGATGAAAACTGGGAATATTCGGAACGGCAATCAGAGAAGACGTGTGAGCGTTAAGAGTTTTTTTAGCTAACGGTGAGCTAAATAGGGCCTAATATTGCTCCGTGTAACAGTGAGGCCTTCCACAATCGTCCCCCACGTTTATTTTATTTATTTTCACACATGCCTGAGTTCAGACTGTGAGCCAAAAAAATCACGGTACGATAATCCTTATAAAAAAGGAAAAAAAATAGTGCATGATTTGTCTGAGGGGACGACACTGCCAGATTACCCAGGACACAACACGATCGTTTGAGCAGATTGATGAGTGAATGAATGAATGCTACTGACAACTACGGTCACTTTATTATTTTCGAGCTAAAACGACTCATAAATCAGAAAGGTGATGCAAATCCACAGGTACATTGCAAATTATACGCTTAGCAACGGGCATAGGAACCAATGCTTCTCAATACAAATACACTTTGGCAAAACATATTATTTGCAAACGACAGGAAGAAAGTTTCCCACTTAGAACTCCAACACCCTCAAACTTCCATCCAATTCCACACAATCTCTCTATAACTACAACCCATGAGTTCTTCAGGGGATTTAAATTTAAAGTGTGTGCCAGACGATTCAGTGAAATAATATCTTGTCATGAAAACCACGCTGTTGTCACACATCACATACGTATAGAAGAGGCATCCTGTTGCAAAAAGACAAGGTTCCACATGATTTTCCGAAAAGTAACATTGTTTGCAAAGAATTTGTGCAACACATTGTGGTCTGAACATCGTTCAGAATAACCGGCTTCGCCTTCTCCCCAGATCGGGATGCAGTCCAGAACATCACCAAACATTCGAATACTGAGATGATACGATTCTTTGAGCAAGTGAAAGAAGCTATTGGCGATGTCAAAATGGGAATTTCTCATGACTGGGGATTATCGGGTTCTATGACTCAGTCCATGGGAAGACAAATCTATCTATCCGTCTATTTGCAGTGCTCATGCAGTTCAGTAGTTCCTTTCCGTGGATGTCTAATTAGCTCCTGGTACTAAATTTAGGGGTATGCACTACGTACAATATGTATTGTATCATCTTAACGAAAACTGTCATGTTTTTTGATCCCTTTTAGTATTTTCTTCACTGATGGCATGGTTTGAACCTAACCGTAGCAGACATTAGAACATACGTTTAAATATTATCAAATGCTCCTCTTGTTGAGTCCGCCGAGTGACTGATTGACTTGCATTCGTATTCCGTCTTCCCGATATTTTCCGTCCGCGCAGTTCAGTCCCCGTAGAAAAAAACAATTACCTGCGTTGTGAGTTGGATAATAGCTTCCCATGTATTATGTTCGGTTCGGTAAGTGTATAAGCACTCAGAGTCCAGTGTAAAATATACACGTACTTTGAATTTGAACCTACATTGACGCCCCGTGAACCGAACATAGTTTCTGACCCGGTGAAGGTCGCCTATTTTCCATTGTGGCCATCGTTATTTCACACGCATATACTGCGATTTTTTGTCCAACATAAAAACAATTTGAAAATCACCCGCGGTTTTATGAGTGATAACTCTTTCTGTTGCTTTGGCAAAAAAAGGTGAGCAAGATTATTGGCAGTGTATGACGCAGCTGTGCCCCAAAAATGACATTCCATTATTCCACGTGCTGCATGAAAACAAGCACCAGAAAGGCTTGTGATCAGAATTTTTCACTCTTTAAGGAAACCAATGTCTACTTGTAACCATAGCTTCGTTTTCCATCATTCGACGTACTAACCGCATAGCGTTCTATCGAACCCTAAGCCACCACGACACCAAGGGCGGAATGCAATGTCAGATGGGTCATGGCTACACACACACACACACACAATTGGCATCATNATTGATTTCTGATCGTACCCGCATGCATGAGGTGATAGTTTTCGTTTCACACCGTGCAAAGACTGGTATTGTTACCGTCAGTAAACCTTGCACAACCGCATAGTGGCTTGGCCACTCGTGAATCTACGACCAGAACCTAAGTGAAAGGTAATCGGTTAGTTGCAATGAGAATCAAGTGCTCAAACGATTGAGCTGGTGGTGGTCACACTTTGCGTTTTTACAATCCAGTGTTATCAACCAACCGGAGATTTGGTTACTGGTCTGTATGGAAACAGATCAGATAAAAAAANCAGAAGCTATTGTTCAGATGAACAGACAGTCTTCCTATAAAAACAATATGGATTCACAGGTGGGTCTTCAGTAGAAGTCGGAGGAAATAAGAGAAACCTACGGTTGGGAAGAGACACAAAATAGCTAAGAGAAGCTTTGAAATATAAAAAATTCTCATCTCTTCTCAAACTTTGGCCTGCAGCGTATTGTGTGTTCATGATGGTATTTCTCTCACCTTCCGGGGTCCTAGATGCATGGAACAAAACTCGCTTCCAGGATTTCGGAAGGTCGGGCCAGTGGTCACAGCATACGAGAGTTGAATTCTTGCAGTCATTTCGTGACGACGAATTCGCATCGGTAGGTACCTGGAGAGAAAAAAAATGGGGGAAATAATTCACACAAGTTGTACAACATGCGTTCAAATGTGGTTCTCAGTCAAAGCGAGGTCATAGTCAATTTTCGCACCTGAGTTTTTTCCGCAGCTAAAAGCTTTGTCAACTGAGAACGGAGCAAATTGATCAGTTCGTTGACTTGTGCGGTAAACGCTTGATCAAACGCTTCCGGATAGAGACCACCTTAAAAAGAACAAAACACAACAGGTTTTATTAGAGTTGATCGAATATTGGAAATATACCGCTAAACCAAGTAAAAAGTTGTGCATATTTGAATGAAACGAGCAAACTATAGTTGAGGGAATCTACCAAGGAAGGGCTAAACAACTCCAAGTTTTGATCCTAATTACGCTCCAAACTATGATACGTGTTCAGCCAAACTCACGAACCGAAAGAGTTATAGTTCAAACTGAGTATTTCTCATATATATATATTTCTCACATAAGGCCCCGCTGGGTTAGGCATGGTATTGAACCGGACGAAGGCAGGACTGCCTGACACCAAAGTCGGGCTCATGCAAAAGTGAAACATTCTTGATCGTTCATCCGGCTGAACTATCTGTCTGAATAGACTCGGTCGAAAACAGAGATGGCTTCAATATTTAGGTAATCCTCCCACAATTTATTGGCAGACTTAAAATAATCGTTGAATGCGATCCGATCGATTGAGGATGGGATTCATGGACCGGGATTCTACTAATTGAGATACGTCCTAAAGTATTGGGATGAGTTGTCCTGTACGAAGGAAGTGATCGAGCGCACATCTCGGCCACTTGTGATCATTTTCACAGTACAGCCGAGAAAGTGGCGTGTAAACACCAGGGAAGTTCGAGTGAGATCCGGTCCCGGGAACGAGATATGTAGGGCCAGACAACAAAGCACGAAGCAAACTCAGCTTGAACATACCAAGTGATTCACAAAGAAGAATACACACTCGGGTTGGGACTTCAAACCCTTACCCCTGAGCTACACGGTCATCACCTTGTGCGAATGGCTCACTCACGTTAAAGTATTAAGCTTGGATTAGCCCATTTAATTGTTCAGAAGCATCATGCACTCTTGATGGTCTTGTATGTGGCTTACACTCCTTAGGAGATTGTTAACTCCCCATTAGTCGAATGCATTTAAATGCAACGGAAATGTTTGTCCCAAATAGGGCGAAACAGCTGTCCAGTGCTCTTTGTCAGTCATCAAAAACATTTCCAGCGCATTTGAATGCGTTTACCTCGAAGGGAATTAACGATCTCCCAAGGAGTGCAACCCACACCGAAGACCATCAAGAGTACCTGGTGCCTCCGAACAATCGAATGAACTAAGCCAAGCTTGATCATCTAAAATCAAATGCACACTGTTGAGCAGAATATTCAGTTACGGTTCGTTTGCACTTTTATCCGACAAAACTGTCTCAAATGCGAATGGGTGATCACAACTCACAAGCCCGTTCACTCTTGGTCGACCGGGCTTGAAGAAAACGCTATTTACATTTTTCGCAGTTGAAGCGGTCTGCTTTTCGCTTTATCAGGAATAAAACGTTTAAATTCCTCTCATGTTTCTCGAAAAATCAGACCCGAAGCGTTCAGCCAGAAAAATATGCGTTATTATTGTCCGTCAGGCCCATCTTGCAATGACTGACAATTGTGGCTATAGTTTTTCACGAGCAGCCAAAGGTCCGCACAAAGTGACGGACCAACCCCAAACAGGCACACAAACGATTCAGGAATGTTTGGATGGGCAGTTTCTTCGGCTAAAAGTGCAACTGAACCACAGCTGAAAATCCTACTCAGCAGGGTGAATCATCTGGTGGTCCGTAAAATGCTATCACAGTGACCAAATGCTAGGCCGAATGAGTGCTGGAAGTGACGATACTCCTGGATGAATTTCCGGCGTATGCATATGCGCGCAGAAACATAGACAGAAACAGGGACTCGGTTTTCCATTGTAACTCTCTCTACTCTGTGGTCTTTACAATCTTTACCAATGTGCCTTGTCTGGATTGTTTCTCACTGTCAGTCGACACTTTTTCTGATCTGATAAAACCACAACTTGGCTGTTTGATCGTGCCTTTGTGCCACTCAGGAAACGAATCGATACCAAGGCTAAAAATGTATGAGCGAAAGATAAATGACGATGCCTGCTGAGTGTTTGACTGACGTGTTGGACATGGAATAGTAAGGATGAAGGGCCAAGATGAAACTCAGATTACATCGATCGATCAAAAANTCAAAAATGAGTTGATTTGGGGGAACCGTGACCTATTCATACTTTCTTACAATGGCATACAATAGAATGAAGAGATAACGTTAATGCTATACGGAATAAGAATTTGGCAAACGCAATAGACCTGAATTATTGATCATTCGCGTTTATGCATGAAGAACGCATAGTCCCAACATCTCTCCTAGTACCTAATGCATCTAATGGTGAAGTGGTGGTCCAGATCGAAGACGACTTATCACCGTCAACCCAATCTGGTGAAAGGAAATCCTGTCACCCCCACCCCCACCCCCGGATGAATAATGCAATGCATCCTACGTTTTGGGAGCGAGTTTCAGTTTCGAAACTTCCGATTATTTTGATGACGTGCACACACACATATATATACAGTGAAAAGCGCCAATAAATGCAATGTAAACAAGTACACATCGACCTTGGCGTTCTGTGGGGTGTCACTTACTGATATGTCAACATTCACTACGTCACAGGTACGAAATTTGCTCTGACCAAGGACATGGTATTTTCTTTCATCCCGCTTGAATACATGACGCAAAACTGTTTCGCCATGTACTCCAGTACAGACGTTCTCGTATCCCTATGCGATATTTATCGGAGCAACGAACTGCCTGTGGTTGGGATCGGATTCGGGGTGGGGGGGGGGATATAAATGCAACCTTGCTGCGTGCAAACTGTTGTGCACATCTCAACCAACAACCAATTTTCCAATCCACCTGTCCAATCAGCGAGTGATAAAAAACCAAAAACGTAATGGTACACGGTATGTCATCTCACCTCTCTGACGTGCCTGTGAAACGCGGGCAGTACGAAGCTTTTCCAGGCTGCTTAGGAGAGCTAAACGTTCGCGACATTCTCCGATAGCCTGTCTGATCAGAGATATTTGGGAATTTTTCGAGTCAAACTCTCGTGAGCATCTCGATGTAGTTGGGATCACTGGGAGAGGGCTGTCTGAGACCTTTTCATTGGACCTGGGAAAAGGAAAGAAGGAGGAAACGCGCGGAGTGAGTGAGTCAGATCAAGTGCACTGAGATGGTAATAAGCACTTGCATGCGACCGATCTGAGAATTCACCGGTGAAGGTCAGTTTCGTCTTTTGAAACTGAAATGATTCATTGGCACAAAGTCTGTCTAAATGTAAACGAGAGCGGTAGAGATAAAGCCCATTCACAAGAACGCCACGAGGGAATGAGCTACGATGCGCGAGTTCGGAAAACAAAAGAGTTGAAAGAATGGATATTTGAACGCATCGGCTGGGTACTGAGTTCAATGAATTATGCGGTAAGAAAACCGTTAGCAAAAAGATCAGGACTACAGATAGAAGATAACGATGCATCATAAAATACGGGGAAATCCCACGAAATAGGGCACATGAAACTCATTGTATAGCCAATATTGCGAAACACTGTGTGTGTGTGTGTGTGCACCGTTCGTGTACAACAGAAACCTTAGATTTGCAATCCATCGACATTTTCATTTTGTCACTTTTAGAACGGGAAGAACAGCATAAGGACCCAAACGAATCGCAATCGGATGAGATCTTGGAATCGTTCGCCACTATCCCCATAATAGAGAGAGGGAGGGAAAACAACATAATGGGATGGCCATAGATTCAAAGATAATTTCATACGAGCAATATTACTGGATGAAAGATTTCGGTGGACTACGTTTATCTACTTTGATTGAATCACCGGGTGAAAGGGATGAGGTGTTTGGTCTAAGTGGAAAAAGGGTAGGAGTCATTTGCGGCAGTCGGGGACAGAAGAGGCGTGGGGGCAAGTATATCGGAAGCAATGAGAAATTCTCAAAGTGAACAAAAAGAACCCAAGTGAAGTGGGGCTTACAACGAACAAAAAAAAAACAATTAGTTTTGACAGTAGAGGAGGCAAAACAGCAATCGAGCATTTTTTGAACCCATTTTGGTTGATGAAGTTGACCACTCAACCACATCAATTGCGGAACTCCAAAATCTGGTCGTTCCTGAAAGGAATGGACAGCACCAATGCGCACGAAATCATTTCAAATTTCTGGATTCACCCTCTTTCCGTGAGTGAAATAACTTCGAAACGTTTGCACGGTTTTCCCTAGGGGCAAGCGAACGCAGCTTGAACAAATTGAAAAAAAATCGTCATGTTGTTTGTGGAAGGTCGGTTAAATGAAACTCAAAAGCTATCCAGAAATCTAGTCTGACTTCATCTCTTAACAGCCAACCAAGATGACTTGAAGCCCTAATACCAAAAAACCATTGATTCCGATTGTGGTCACCGGTTTTATCGGGCCTCGAGGTGCATCAAGCACCTTGAAAGTGTGATCTCTTTCAAAATGGTTATGATTGGATGAACTGGACACCGGCCTCCAATGAAGTGAGGTTTTCAGACAGCGCCACGTTGTCTTGTGGGTCAGACTTGGATTGCCTAAAAGCTCAGAAAGTGAATTTCTCTACAACAAAAAACTCATCTGCTTTGATCTGGAGAATTTGTCAGTATTCCTCTCACGATCAAATTATGAACCCATTTCCTTATTATAAATATATTTGTGCCGTAATTTGTCTGCTATTCAGTCTAAATTCAGAAACGCATGAACTATAGCATACATTTTGTAGTCATCTGTTGTGATTTCTCATTAAAAGAAGAGAAACGCGCAACATTAATTTCAGATGCGCGTGGGGGGATTCAAAACAGTGGGATAGTGTTTGACCGTGAGCATTTCAGGAGTTGATACAAAACAACAAGCCAGGTGTAGAACACTCGAATCGGTCCGATTAGGCAAAGAAAAGGTCAAATTTGCAAACTCATCTTACGATTGTTATTGTCACGAGTCGTGATATAGGAAATGTTATCAACCATGCTGAATGGTCATTTTCGGGGTTATTCTTCATACACACACACACACATACATAGTGCATGCAATCCACTTAGTCTATCTAGCAGAGTGGTGATGAAGCGGTTAGGATCAACCGACGAATGTGCGGGAATCCCAACATCACCACCGAACATTCTCCATTTATGTTTTTTTCTTACATCCCTTAACGTGATGAACAGTCACGAGGACCTGCTGTTCAGTCATGAAAACTGATAACCTAAGCCCCGGAAATTGGAGTGGTGAACCACGTGAGGCTCCATGGGATGAAGTGTGGTACTGAATCAGGTGACAGTAAAGCTGCCTACCACTGAAATTGGGTGTCGGGGCTCGAACCGCGGACGATAGATTCCAAAGCACGGTGGTGACAATAAATGAACTACCACACCACCG